CTCATGGCCCGACTGAGGGCTGCTGGGAGTAGGGGGTGGGGCTTGTTGCATGTGCCAGCCCCCTGGGCTCCTTACGGCCAGTGCTCCGCTCCTGTGTGCTCCCGCAGGAAATGACCCCTGCCCGCAGCCCTTTGCCTGATGGTACCGGCAGGGGCCATTTCGTGGAAAAAGAGGGGCAGGAGCTCATTAGCATAACTCATTAGCATAACTTATTTGCATATGTCACACCCCCGACCTCACCGGAAGCGTGTCAGAAGGCAACACCCAACACTCAGGCTCCACTGGACTGTTTTGGATTGCTAGCTATTGGGGGCGGGAATGTGCAGTTCTGTCCTTGCAGAGGAGGGAGAGCTTGTACCTGAATAAAACTTGGTCTTAAAGGTACAACTGGACTGTTTTGGACTGGGGGGCCGGGTGGGCTCTGCAACTTACCTGGCTGCTTCTTGCTCTGACTGAGGGCTGCTGGGAGCAGGGGGCGGGGCTTGTTGCATGTGCTCTTTACTGCCGGAGCTCCGCTCCTGTGCGCTCCTGCAGGAAATGACCCCTGGGTACCGGGCAGCGTGTGCAGCTGGGGGCATGCGGGGCAGAGGGCTCACAAGTGCGAAGGCATGCTGGGTGAGGGGTGGGCGGCAGCAGCAGGGCACCCCAGAATTCCCGGGCCCGGGCAGCTGCCCCACCTGAGGGTATGCTGCCGACGCCGGCCCTGCTTTAAGTAAAGCCAGCCTAAGTGGTTCGGACTCTAAATTCTTCACGGAATCTTAGATGCAAAATACATTACTGGCACAAATATCCGACGTGCCCAGTGCCGTGGAAGGCAAGCAGGCTTCACCTTAAGAGAGACAAAGGACAGGAAGGGTTGCCTCAGTGCTTAGTTGCCGCGGCCCTTCCTTACACGCCCAGGGACATGCCGATCACCACTTTGGGGTCAGGACGCCATTTTCCTCCAGGCCAGTTTGGCTGGGGATCCTGGAGGTTTTTTGTCATCTTCTGGGCATGGAACAGCGGTCACTGGGCGTGTGTGTGTGGGGGGGGAAGCTATCCTGCATAGATGGCCCCGGAGGTCCCTTCGAACTCTATGATTCTACCCTTGGCCTGGGAAAGGACGAGCACTGGGTCAACGCAAGTCGCCCCGGACAGCCCCACTAAGAGCCGCGACAGAAGATGGAGATGATCAGGCCTGTAGCTACAATGGGGCATCTCGGAGCCCGGCCCCCTGGCTGACCCCGAAGGCCCCCCCTGACTTCCCATCCAGCCCAGATTTTTTTGGGGGGTGCGGGAGGGTGTGCACCCCCCTTGACTTATTTAAAGGCCCCCTGAATTTAAAACAAAAATTGGCTACGGGCCTAGAGAAGATGCAAAAGACGAGTCAGCCGGTTCCCCCGCTGTTCTTCCGCACTAAGCTTACGGGCGCTCCTGTTCTTTCCCCGCCCTCCCAGATCTCCTGACGGAAGATGACATCTACTGCTGCTCTCTCTCCAAGACTCTGTGCCACACCTCCACCCCCGTCACCGTGGGCTTCTACTCGCCCTGCGGAACCCGGCTCCACTCCCTCCTGGAGAACAATGCAGGTCGGTGCCACGGGAAAGAGAGACGCGTGCTGGGGGTGGTGGTTAGTGGTCAAAAAGGTTGTCGCAGATGTGTATGCGATGGCATCGGGGGCGGGGGCGGGGAACCACTGCAAACCTAGTTGGGAAAACAGATTCAAGTTCCCTTTGGGGGTATTTTACTTCCAGATTCGTAGCTTCTGCAGTTCAGATATGGAGTCTGGGGGAAATCTCCTAAAGAGCTATGCTCTGAAACGGGGAGCGGAGGGGGGGGGGCGCTATCTGTCTTCCATAAAATCCAGAAGCTGCCCTGGTAGCCCTGTCGGTAAGCCACACACCAACCGTAAATGTTATCGGGTTGTACATTTGTCACTTTTTGTGGAAACTAATTAGAATGCGTGCCCTTCTCTGGATGGCCCAGGCTAGCCGGATCCCGTCAGATCTCGGAAGCTAAGCAGGGTCGGCCCTGGTTGGTATTTGGATGGGAGACGAGTAAGAAAGTCCAGGGTCGCTCCGCAGAGGCAGGCAAAGGCAAACCACCTCTGTTCCTCTCTGCCCTGACCTGGATAGCCCAGGCTAGCCTGATCTCGTCAGATCCGGGAAGCTAAGTAGGGTTGGCCCTCGCTGGTATTTGGATGGGAGACGAGTAAGAAAGTCCAGGGTCGCTCCGCAGAGGCAGGCAAAGGCAAACCACCTCTGTTCCTCTCTGCCGTGACCTGGATAGCTTAGGCTAGCCTGATCTCATCAGATCCTGGAAGCTAAGCAGGGTTGGCCCTGGTTAGTATTTGGATGGGAGACCAGTAAGGAAGTCCAGGGTTGCTATGCAGAGGCAGGCCATGGCAAAACTCTGTTAAGTTTCTTGCCCTGAAAAACCCTATGGGATCGCCACAAGTCATCCGCAACCTGACGGCAGTTTCCACGACCACCAATTAGAATGTAGGCCCATCAGACGATTCCTCCCACCCCGAAGACCCCCCCCTCCCCGGTTTCCACCCCATTCTAACATCCCAGCCAGCCGCTAGTTTTGCCAGAAAGCCAGTGGGGGAGTGGAAGGCCCAAGACCTCACGTACTTGCTACCCCCCGGCCCCACAAATGTCCATCGGCCAAACCTGTTTGCTACAGATGCCTTTCCTTTTTGGCTTCTCGGTTGCACATGGAGCAGCAGCCGGTGTCTCTTCACGGTCTGGCTTTGTCTCACTGGATTCGAGTTGCCGACTCCCGCCCTGACATCACACCGAGAAGCAGAAATCAGGACAAGGCAGACAGAGCCAACGCGGGGCTTAGTGACGCTTTCTGGGCCATTCCTATTTATTTCATTAAAATATTTCTACCCCACATTTTCTTGCGGTTCAAGGCGTCTTAAAGTAAAGGTAAAGGTTCCCCTTGCTCGAAAGCCAGTCGAGTCCGACTCTCGGGTTGCAGTGCTCAACTCCGTTTCAAAGCCGAAGAGCCAGCGCTGTCCGAAGACGTTTCCGTGGTCATGTGGCCGGCATGACTAAACACCAAGGCGCACGGAACGCTGTTTCCTTCCCACCGAACTTATAGTTAAAAACGTTTCCAGTGGAAAGCAAATCCCAGATCTCCACACACACCCTTAAAAGATGCCTGCCATTCAATCCCCCTCAAAAGCCCTGGCAAAACAGGCAGCTAGGGATGTGCGCACACACCAAAAAATTGGTATTTTTCGGGTTCGGGTATATCAGACCCGAAAATTATCAGGATTACTTGATATTCCTGGATCCTAATATCTGTATGGCATTGGGATTTGGGAAATATTCAGGAATGCTGATTTTTTTATGGCTCCATTATAGCCTATGGGGACCATTATAGTCAATGGTCTATTAGGCTATAATGGAGAATCGGTCCGGGGGTATCTGGGGCTCGGGGGGGGGCTGTTTTTTGAGGTAGAGGCACTAATTTTGCAGTACAGCTGCTCGTGCCTCTCCTCCACCCCCTCCCAAGCTTTAAAAAGATCAAACCAAGGGTCCAATTTTATGGGCCCAGAAGAAGGTGCCCCATTCTCTATTATTTCCAATGAAAGGGGGGAGGAAGCTGTTTAAAGGGATTCGGTTCCTTTAAATGCCTTCTCCAAGCCACAGCGTGAGTGAACTTCAAAGGCATTTAAAGGGACCACAGTTCATTTTTAAATGCCTGAGAGTTCACTCCAAATGCATTTAAACCGACTGAGAGCCCTTTAAATGCCCTGTAACTGTGGCTCTCTGATGCCCCCCAAAGATCCCAGATATTTTCGGGGGGGGGGGTTGGGGGGCGGCCATTTTCGGATAGCCGAATCACTGAGAAAGTACCCAATAAATAGGTATTTATTGGGTATTTTTTTCTGCCCACTTTATACCCAGCACACACCCCTACAGGAAGTGCCTCCTGAATGTCTCCAGGTCAAAATCAATATGTTGCAATTTGGAACGGAGCTGAGAGACAAAGACCTGCCCTGTAGTTATGTCCCCTTTTATTTTTCCCCACATGGTTTAATGGGGGTGGGGGGAGAAACTGCCACATTTGGAAGGTGTGTTGCGACAGGGGCAAAAGTTGTTCCCTGCTGTGTATCGAGCAAGACATACTGAAAGGGGCACAGTGTGTGTCTGCATGCACAAGGATGTATCCACTTTTCCACCCAAAGAGTAATGAACGAGTGGAATTCACTGCTGCAGGAAGTGGTGGCTGCTACAAGCAGCGTCGGCTTCAAGAGGGGATTGGAGAAACATCTGGAGCAGAGGTCCATCAGTGGCTATTAGCCACAAGGGAGAGATGGAATGCTCTGTCTGGGGCAGGGATGCTCTGTCTCCTTGGTGCTTGGGGGGCAGCAGTGGGAGGGCTTCTGGAGTTCTGGCCCTGCTGGTGGACCTCCTGATGCCCCCTGGGTATTTCTGGCCACTGTGATGCAGAGTGTTGGACTGGATGGTCCACTGGCCTGATCCAACATGGCTTCCCTCATGTTCTTATGTAACCCTTCCCAGCAAACAGACCCTCTCCCTGTTCCACTCACACAGTGGGCATTTCAACAGTTTAGGTATTGTGATGGCTGAAGTCATGCAGACAAGGGATTGGTGGTTACTTCAAAGACAGGGAAGGTGGTCCTGATGGTGGAGGGGAGTGTCATCAAGTTGCAGCCGACATACGGTGACCCCGTAGGGTTTTCAAGCCAGGAGACATTCAGAGGTGGTTTGCCATGGCCTGCCTCCGCGTAGCAATCCTGAACTTCCTTGGAGTCTCCCACCCAAGTACTAACCAGGGCTGATCCTGCTTTACTTCCCAGATCTGGCTAGTCTGGGCCATCCAGGTAAGGGGAAGGTGGTCCTAGGCCCCTCGGTTTTCCGAAGTTGCCACAGGTACCTCTATTGATGCCTTTTTGTCATTGGCAGAATGTATGCACAAAGAATCCTGCAGGAGAGAAGAAAACGAATACAGGAGAACCCACCAGAGGCCACGGCGACCGGAAGGAATGAACTACTTCACTCTCCTGTGGTATCTGGTCTTCTACGAGCCGGTGATCACGGAAGTCCACCTCAGAAGGAAGAACATCGACTTCATTTTCATCAGGTTCAGTGCCTGGCAGTATGCCGGAAGTGACAAACTCTGGGCTGGGTTGGTCACCACCCTTTGTGATCACATCCGCCAACACTTTGGGCCTCTCCCACTAAGCTTCTACCATGTCGTCGGGAGCAGGCCACGCTTTGCCTCGGGGTTCAGCCAGAACGAGTGGAGGCTCAAGAAGAAAGTTGTCGTCACTGCCGGAGGACTCGTGGTCATGTTGCTTGCAGGGGTGAGCCTGGCCACGGTCGTCATCTTTGTGCCAGGGATAAGGGACGGTAGCGCCCTGAAAGTCATCAGCGCAGTCTTTGCCACAATCTCCGGCTCCAGCATCATCCTGGCTCTCGCTCCGGTCATTAAACACCTGATCATCAGTCAGAAGAAAAAGATCGAGAGCATGACCAACAACCAGAAATTCACCAGTCACTTGGGCTTCATGAGCGCGGTCAAGAGAGAGATTGAACTTCTCACCAGCTTTGTGTATTACATGGAGATATTTGAGAGGCAGCGGCTGAGAATCGTCTTCGAGATCACCAGCTTGGACATATGCTACCCAGAGCGAGTGATCGGGGTTCTGAACGCCATCAACACACTGCTTTCGGACACCAACGCCCCGTTCATTTTCATTCTGGTGGTGGACCCCTGCATCATTACCTCTTGCTTAGAGCAAGCGAGCAACATGAAGGGCATGGCTGACAATGGCTATCTCTACCTCAACCGCACGGTGTCGTTGCCCTTCTCCATCCCGGAAATTGGTGTCCGTTCCAAGATGCGTTTTTTGCACGAGACCTTCCAAAACCGGGAAGACCTGATGTACCGGATCATCACAAGGAATGTGGAGCAGGGAGTCCGGAAGGGAAAAGGGATGGACCCGGCCCTGGCTGAGATGGAAGCGTCCGTGGAAATGGACCAGCACCAGATCGACGCCCAGGCCGTGCAATATATCCACGAGGCGTTCCACTCCTTGCACGATGAATATGGCTGCCTTTACAGGTACATCCCCGAGAGCATTATCCAGATGAAGAGGATCGTCAACACTATCCCCATCACCCTACGGCTCATGACCCAGCAGCACAGTCTCCGCCACGACATCTGTCCCAGGTCAGTGGCGGGCTGGGTGGTCCTGGCCAATCAGTGGCCGTGCCGCTTGAGCTGGATCCTGCAGTGCATGGAGGATAAGCAGCAGTGTCGGCCGCCCAAGGACTTCAACCAGCAGCCGCTGTGGGAAGTGTTTGTGGGCAACTGCCAGGAACTCTTCTCCAAGCACAAGGACCTCCAGAACATTATGGCCCTGGACAGCGACCCGGAACTCTTTGAGCAGTTCTTGTCCCACGACTTCCCATTCACCGTGCAGGAAGGGGCAAAGTACATGAGATATACAGTCAACCTGGACCATTCCATCAGGCACCGGATGGGTCAGCTGAGGGCGCTCGCTATGCTGGAGAAGATGTACAAGAAGGAAGACGGCTCGGACAAAAAGAAGAAGGAAGACGACTCGGACAAAAAGAAGAAGGAAGATGACTCGGACAAAACGGATTAGGAGAGTGGCTTTTCGGACTGCTCCGGGGAGTCCCGCTATTAGATAAGTAATGGTGGATGAGTTGTCCAAAGGGCAGCTTTGTCTGCTGTTGCATATAACTCCCCGGTGTGGAGGTACCTCGGGCTGTCTCCTAGGTAGGCCTTGCTTTCCAACTGCCTGTAGGGGGAAAAATAAGTCCTGTCCCTTTAATTACAGAGGGCAGCTGTGTTGGTCTGCAGTAGGATTGCTAGATCAGGGGTGTCAAACAAGGCCCGGGGGCCGGAACCGGCCCATCTAGAGCTATTATGCGGCCCGCAAGCAACTAGTGCAAGGGAGGGAACGGGGGACTGCTCAAGGGGGGAGTGGGCGGAGCCAGTCAGATTGTGGCTTCAGCATGGGGGAATAACCTCATCTGCAGCAGTCAAGCAGCGTGGGAGCGTCTGCCCAGTGCTGCACCGCTGGCTCTCCAGTCCGCCCATGTGAGTTTTCCTTTGCACCCCCCTCCCAGCACACGGGCCTTGCAGTGAGGATATAACAACTTGGGGATTACCACCTGCTGTCCTTTATAATGTTTCTATCTCCAGTACTTGGCATTACATTTTATGGCACACATGGCCCGGGCCAACAAAGGGACATTTGTGTCAGATCTGGCCCTCCTAACAAATGAGTTTGACACCCCTGTGCTAGATGCAAGTCCGGTAGCACGGCAGAGATCGACAAGATTTTGGGGGTCACTAATGAAGGAAGCTTTTGACTCTTGAAACTTCCAGTTTGGTGCCGTGGTTAAGTGCGCGGACTCTAATCTGGGAGAGCCGGGTTTGATTCCCCACTCCTCACCTCGCACCTGGCTTGATGACCTTGGGCAAGCTGTAGTTCTGATAAGAGCTGTTCTTGAAAAAGAGCAGTTTCTGTCAGAGCTCTCTCAGCCCCACCAACCTCACAGGGTGTCTGTTGTGGGGAGGGGAAGGGAAAGGAGTTTGTAAGTCGCTCTGAGGCTCCTTTGGGTAGTGAAGGGCGGGGGTATACATCCAATCTCTTCTCTCTTCTTCCTACCCTGAAGATTTTGGTGGTCTCAAAGGTGCTACTGGACTCGAATGTAGCTGTCCCTTTAATAGAGACTTAACGGGATGGTATTGACCAGGTGTTCCGTGCGCCTTGGTGTTTAGTCATGCCGGCCACATGACCACGGAAATGTCTTCGGACAGCGCTGGCTCTTCGGCTGGGAAACGGAGATGAGCACCGCATCCCTAGAGTCGGATTCGACTGGCTTTCGAGCAAGGGAGACCTTGACCTTTACCTTTATTGACCAGGTGATGTTGTTTTTCCACCTCACTCCTAGCCAGTGTTCCCTCTAAGCTGAGTCAGTGTGAGCTAGCTCACAGTTCTTTTAGCCTCTGGCTCACCCATTTCTGTCCAAGCTCAGGCAGGATGGCTCCACAGCAAACTAATTGATACAGCGGCCAAAGCGCTCGCTCTCACAACTTTAATGCCGACAGTTCACGAAGTAGGATTTTTGCTCACAAGACTCCGCAGCTTAGAGGGAGCATTGCATCCTAGCACACATGCCTGCTTCAACAAAGGGTGCCGGAGATGCTTCCCAGAAGGCTTCCCAGAATGCTCCGGGAAACACAGAACGGTCTTTGCGGCAAACAAGACAACGTAAGGAAAGGTTTCCCCAAATGCGAGTTTGAAAAACCACTTTCACTGAGGAGGAGCACACGGGCGGCTCTCTCTTCGCCCCAGGATACGGGACCACACCTGAAAACACTCTCGCACTTTTTTTTTTGTGGCACTTAATTCATGCTGTGAACATGGGAGAAAACTTGAGAAAGAAATCCGATGTGCACTACAGCCAATGTAGGATTTAAGGCTACAAGTATGGGGGAGGGGATCCCCCATTCGTAGGAATTATTTATTTTGGAAGGGAAGGGGGGAGAAAGGCAGTATTAATCGCTCCTGAAGACAGGAGTGGAGTTGGGAGTATTCCACAATACGACAAGTGCAGAAAGTTCTGCTAGGCCCATAAAACAGGCATCTTCAGAGTCAGTTTTTTAATAGCAAAGTTTCTGGCCCTAGAGGCTGTAAAAGCTATCCTTGAAAAATATATGAACACCATCTAGTGAAATCTGAGAAACTGGGCCTGGGGAGAATAAAATTTCTAATTTGGAATGGGCAGGTAGACTGCTTAAACACAGGGGTCATTTCGTAGAAAAAGAGGTGCAGGAGCTCAATAGCATAACACATTAGCATAACTTGTTTGCATATGTCACACCCCCTGACATCACCGGAAGCGTGTCAGAAGGCAACACCCACCGCTCAGGCTCCACTGGACTATTTTGGACTGCTAGCTATTGGGGGGTGGGGGGGGACGTGCAGATCTTCCCTCACAGAGGAGGGAGAGCTTGTACCTGAATAAAACTTGGTATTAAAGGTGCCACTGGACTGTTTTGGACCGGGTGGCCGGGGCTCTGCAAGTTACCTGGCTGCTTCTTGCTCTGACTGAGGGCTGCTGGGAGCAGGGGGGTGGGGCTTGTTGCATGTGCCCGTCCCCTGGGCTCTTTACCGCCGGAGCTCCGCTCCTGTGCGCTCCTGCAGGGAATGACCCCTGGTTAAACATATATCTACTTGTGAGGCTGTGTTTGGGTAACCCAGACAGGTTCTGCTAGAAGCTGTCATTGAATTTGGGGTAGTAAAACTGCCAGTGAAGAGAGGAACCGGGTACTTTATGGTGGCTGCCCCGAGACGGAGGGTAGTCTGGTTATACACCTCTCTCCTGGCTTGCAGGAAGAAATGCAAAACACACCTTTGCAGGTGAATCTCCACAGGCTTTTGGGAGTGCTTCAGGCCATGTCCACACAGGTTATCTACCTCAGGCTCGATCCTGTTGAAAAGCACTCACCACAGCAGCATGGTCCATTCATGCATCTCCCCGGGTTTCTTTGGCTTCTCTCTGATCTTTCTCAAAACTTGCTTTCCTCTTAAAGTTTTGGGAAAGATCACCGTAAAGCCTGAACGACTGCTGTGTGGATGGAAAAAATTAGGATTCCCCCCCCCCCATCCGCGAAGGAGCCATTTCCCCTGACATTGACTCTGCAGCGACCCTTCCCTCTATTGCAGGGGCGGTGGGCTACTTATTTTTATAAACGGGCTCTAAAATATTATATCACTATACCGTTGTAACAGCAGGTGTGACGGGTACTCTGAATTCTCAGCTTTCATTTAAAAAAAAGCATTTCCATCCCTTTTCCTTGTGGAGATATAAAGGAAAAGACATGTCTGCAATGGAAGGGGATGGAGACTTTTTTTTAAAAAAAGAAAGCTGGGAATTAAAGAGAACCTGTTACATCCTAATGTTATACGATGATATTCTAATGCCAATTTGGTTTTTTAAAAAAAGCCAATCACAGATGTCGTACGTTGGGAGGAGATGGCCACCTACACTTCACGAGTGGCACACACATTTATTTATAAAGAGGGAGGGGAGTAAAAGCAAACTGCACTCTGGCCCATTAGCGGTGACAGAACTGTGCCAACGGGATTGGTACGGCTTCCCCTTCGCTGTCCCAACCCTATTCTCCCAAAGTACCCAGAAACACATAAAAGACTTACCTGCACAGTCCCCTTTTCTTCCCTCTGAAGCTGCACGCTCTGGTCCACAAAAGCTTACGCTGGAATAAAGTTCTATTAAAGTGCCAGGAGACTCCTGTTTTATTTTTGCTGCAGCAGATACCCTCTCTGGGGCCGATTCTGCATTGGCTTTTCCCTCCGTCGTATTATGAAACCCGCATTGGAACAGAAATTCCCCTCTGCATTGCGTGCTGGTTTCACTTCCTTCGATTATCGGGTTTTATGCTCACTTCCACGCTCCGTGCCACTTCCGAGTTCTTTGATTGTCAGATTTGATTGTACTGTCTGCATAGATTTATGGGTGCTTTATGGCTGGTGACTTCGCAGCCAGTACGGCGTTGCCCCTAAGTATCTGAATGTGGTTTTGAGCTGCACTTTTCCCTCCCAGTTGAGAAAATATGGAGCGAACGTCAGATGCGGAATCGCCCTGGGACTCTTTTGCTGGGAAAGCACGTCCATTGCTTCTGCCAGGTAGGCATCTACCGCCACCTAGTGGGACACGGAGCAACCGCATCTCTTGTACGGCCGCTCGACCACGATCCTTGCTATGGGATTCACTGCGGGCAGACGCATGGGGCCAAATGGGAAGAGGGGCGGATCCACAGTCTCCCAAACGCCAAAGAGAATTCCAAAAGTAAAAAATCCTTTAGGGGGACTTGCGGAAAGCACCAGAGTTACCCTTCCGCACCTGACGGCGGATATCTCCGCCTTCAGCCGGTAGACAGTGCAGCCAGGTTCGGTGCCAAATGATTCACGTTCAGTTCTGTGGGGCAAACGATTCCACTTGGCAGAGCCTTTGGTCAGCGCTGGAGTGGGGGAAAGGAGCTGCTCTCGCCTTCTGCCCATCCAACCTCACATCCTTAGCCAGTAAGCATCAGTGCCACGTAAGCCAGGGGTCTCCAATGTGGTGCCCGTAGGCGCAACGGCACCTGCCAACACATTTCTGGCGCCGGTCGAGTGTTTTTAAGAAGTGGGTGGGGCCAGGTAGGGCTTTTGCTTGGCAAGGCTTCTGATTGGCTTGTGCAGATTTTTCAAAATGTTGCTTTGGCAGCAGCTGCCACCGCAACAGGCTGAGATACACTAGGGTCACCAGATGTCCTCTTTTTGGGGAGGGGGGTGTTGTCTGCCCTCTCTCAGACTCTTTAAAAAAAAAAAAAACCCCGATGAAACTGTCCTCTTTCCCAGGTTGGAAGGTTACGAACATTCCTAGTGAGTAGCAATGATCACAGCTCCAATAACAGTGGTATTGAAAATGAGATGTGTCATAGTGACTGACCACTTGTGTGAAGTAGTCAGTCGAGAAATAACTCCTCTTTCTCGCTTTTCAAAATACGGCAACCCTGAGCACGACGTGTTACTGAACTTAAGCTGTAGTGATCATTCTGTGGCTAGCTCCGCCTCCTGCGACAACCATTTTGTTGGACCTCCAAAGGAACTGGCTGGCCACTGTGTGAGACAGGATACTGGACTAGATGGACCACTCGTCTGATCCAGCAGAGTTCTTATTATGTTCTGAGGAAGGCCTCGGCCTCTCTGCCCTGTTGCTGGCCCTCCAGAGGAACTGGTTGGCCACTGTGTGAGATGGGATGCTACACTAGGTGGACCACTGGTCTGATCCAGCAGGGCTCTTATGTTCTGAGGAAGGCCTCGGCCTCTCTGCCCTGTTGCTGGCCCTCCAGAGGAACTGGTTGGCCACTGTGTGAGATGGGATGCTGGACTATATGGATCACTGGTCTGATCCAGCAGGGCTCTTCTGGTGTTCTTATGAAGGCCTCAACCTCTATGCCCTGTTGTTGGCCCTCCAAAGGAACTGGTTGGCCACTGTGTGAGATGGGATGCTGGACTAGATGGACCACTGGTCTGATCCAGCAGGGCTCTTCTGTTGTTCTTATGAAGGCCTCGGCCTCTCTGCCCTGTTGTTGGCCCTCCAGAGGAACTGATCAGCTGCTGTGTGAGACAGGATGCTGGACCAGATGGACCACTGGTCTGATCCAGCAGGGCTCTTCTTAGGTTCTTATCTGGGGAAGGCCTCAGCCTCCATGCTCTGTTGCTGGACCTCCAGAGGAACTGGTTGGCCACTGTGTAAGACAGGATGCTGGACTAGATGGGCCCTCACTGGTCTGATCCAGCAGGGCTCTTCTGATGTTCTCAACTTCTGCGAGGAGAAAGGACCCTTATTCAGGGATACAGATGACCATGTTATTGCAGGATTCTCTTCTTTGCAGGAAGGAATAGAGAATGCTGCTTTAAAGACAGTGCCCACCACCTACTTTTAAAAAATGCATGAATTTTTTTAAAAAAGAAAATCTGCTTCCTGGAAAGGGGGGGGGGGGGGGCACCTCTTTAGTTGACCAAAATTACGTTTTGTAGATAAAGTTGACTGGACACAGCAATCCTAAAATCATAAGTCTGGAAACAGAGAGGACAATGGACAAGCCCAGATTGTTAGAAAATGCTTTTATTTCAATCAAGTATATCATAAACAAAACCCAGTAGATGCACTAACACACAATCAATTCCCTACGGTTTCTTTTTTTTTCTTCTTCTCCTTTCAAAAACATTATTTTTAAATAAAGCTAATTCTGGTCCATGGATGGCCCTTTCTAAAGCAAATGAAGGAAATTAGCGGACTGGGTTCACACAAAAAAGAGGGGGGGGAACCTGCTGCCACTCGGACACGTTTTGGAAGCTGCGATGCCCCGCTGACGCTAGGGCAGAGAGGGCAGCGAGAAAAACAAAAGTCCACCCGGAGAGACTGGCACCCTTGCTGGCCGTCTGGGGGGCAGACAACGAAACAACCGTCTTGCTTTTAAGGCCAAAACACTGGGGTCGACCCAAGGTGGGGCTTGGCCCTCTTTCGCTCCAACTCATTTAAACCGCCCAACTACGAGAAAGGACGAGACCCGAATCCCCCCGCCCCTCCTCGAGGTTGTCTACGCAGGCTTCCGAACCTTTAATTTGCTCTAAACGGATCCACCTCCCTCAGGGCTTCCTGCACTCGCACATCCAGTGTGTTCACATGCGGGCTTTTCGGGTTCCCCTGTCTGAAATCTAAAGTCTCAGGGGGGTTTGCCCTCTACTCCACAGAAGGAGCTCCATCTCAGCGTGGCACACCAGAAGCGAGGAGCCACGCTAGGTTCCACGAGGACTTTTCATAGCCCTCCCCACATTCCAAAGCTTAACCTGCCCCTTCCTCTCCCCTAAGTCCCGCCTAGAGGTTCTCCCAGTTTCTCTGCGGAAAAGAGCAATGGTGGTGGATTGCCGATACAGACACAATCAATGTGTTTGGAAATGCCACCGGGTTAGGGCAGGCAAACGGCATGAACGATGCATCGCGGGAAGCAAATATGTCCCCGTCTCCGCACACCCCACAATATCTGCACCCTTCTGGGCACTGCCACGGAGAACCGGGGTCTGGGTTCAAGTCTTACCCAGCCGTGAGGTTCACTGGGTGATCTTGAGCCCGTCCCTCTCAGCCTAAACCCCACCCCTCGGGGTCGTTGTGAGGATAAGATGGAGGAGGGCCCTGCACGCTCCTTAGGGGGAGGGGCCGGGATAGCGGCAGCAGAGGATCGATACTACCCGGCATGGTTGGTTTTGTGGGATGGAACGCCTCCCCCCACGGGGCTCGGAATGTGGCTAAGCCACTCGCAGCCAGCCTTGCAAACGGCGCCGGGAAGAATCTGCGGGTCGTAGCGCGGCGTGCCCCAAGCTCTCCAAGTTGACCTCTGCTTCCTTTTAGATACGGCCGCTTTCTAATTTTGGTAGCTGGAACACGGGAGGCCTTTTATACGCTGGAAGCTTTCCTGTATTTTAGAACAAGAGTCCTCGCAGCAAGGGCCTGTCAATGTACACCCTGATCAAACAAACCTCCAGAGGTAGTATGAATACCTCCGAGTATACCGGATGCTCGGTCCAAACATGGGGGCTTGTAGGGACTGAGGGCACCTGGCTGGCTGTCAGCGGTGCTACCGGATTCCAATCTAGCCACTGTGTGCGGACGTCACTGTGAACAACAGCGCCGTGGTGCGGACAGACGACCACCGCACGTGCGCAAACACATCGCAAATCCCGGCCCGCTTTTCGAACACACAAGCCCCACCACCACATGGTTGTTCCACCGGGGCTCTTTTTGTAGCAGGAACTTCTTTGCATATTAGGCCACACCCCATAATGTAGCCAATCCTCCAAGAGCTTACAGAGCTCTTCTTACAGGAGCTACTGTAAGCTCTTGGAGGATTGGCTACATTAGGGGTGTGTCGCTTAATATGCAAAGGAGTACCTGCTACAAAAAGAGCCCTGCGGCTATCGACCTGCTCCTCTTCCTCCGCACCAGGGAGGGCTCGCCGATTTCCCGGTCCCCAAAGAGACTGAGAGAGCAGCCACTCGGGGAATACAGCTTTTCGTTTAATTAGAAGACGGTTTCGACAAAAATCAAACTCCACGCACAACGGAAAAGGAATGACAAAACATCAGCAGAGCTTCTTTTTTTTTAAAAAAAAAAAAAAAAAGGAAAGAAAACACAA